TTCATTTTATTGGATGGAAAGACATTTAATACTAAGAGATATATCTTGTATAAGCGAACCTATTACATCCATTGATGAGGTGTTTCATTGTCTGGTTTTCTGTGGTATTTGAGAGTAGTTAAAAGAAGGGTGTATTACCATGTTGTCATATGGTATATGGGTGGTTTGATTAGTAGAAATCTTTGTATGCCTTGATATATCAGTCATGCATGCATGCATGCACACAAGCATTCATTTCTACAACAAACACTTTCTGTATAAACAGGAGGTACTATTATCATTACAGAAAGGCAACGTCTACTGTTTTAACTGAATGCAGGTTATTACAGTCATTATCAAGATTTCTGATCAATAGTATCATGATTTGTAAAATCCAAGAAAATAAAATAAACAGAGCATCTAAATATAGAATATCGATGATATTATTTAACACACAACACATGTTTATCGATTGCATTAGCATCCATTGTATATAGTTAAACTATACAATGTAAAGTTTGCTATTTTACTTCAATCCATAATACACATATTATTGCCTGGCACCTTGTAACTGACTAGCAATGACAAGAAGAGACTGGAAAATCTTCAGTTTATGTTAGCAATCAGGTGTTGGAGTTGCGTTGTTAACTTTGTATGATTATGAACGTGGTTGTCATTAAAGGGATGTTTAATAAGACGGATCTTGGATATGATAAAAGGACTATTTTATTGATGCATTAAATGCTGCACTGTATAGACATAATTGCTACTTTTACACGACAGCATTTTATCTGAGCTGAAATATTGCTGCGCTTTACCGATTAACAGGAGATTATTTCTTGTGCATTTATACACTTTGTAGCAGAATGTAGTTTTAAGTTCAGTCTGTTTTAACCTGAAATTGTCAGGGCTCATCAGTCCTGTCATAGTACAACCCTGCAGGTTTATTGTTATCACAATTGACTAAAGCCAGCTCAAGCTAAACATGTTCACATGGTCATTATTGCTGCCTAGAGCTGATAAAATGCTGTCGTGTAAAAGAGTGGAAATGGAAATAGTAGGATTTGTTCTTGCATACTTATTTTTACCTTGGTTTCTATGGTGATAGTATTCCATCATATCTTAAGATTGTTCATGGTGACATATATTTTCAAACAAGGTGTCATTCAACTCATTATAATAATTATAATCTTTGGGAATTATAGTTTATCTTTGCTTGTGCATAATTTATGTGTATCTGAAATATTAAATTTATGCTTGATCTACAAAGGTCACACATCCTGGTGTTTCGTTGGGGTACCGGTATTGTTCTATAACAGTGAAAATTATACCTCAGTTGTTGCCATGTGTAACTATTAATGAACTTGACTTACAACTAGGAAAATGGTTATGAAAATAATATTTATTGTGAATTTGTATTCCCAGAAGTACCAGGATGTTTGACATTTAGAGACTTGAAATACCAGGATGTTTGACCTTTAGGGAGCCAAAATACCAAGATTTTTGACCTTTAGAGACCTGAAATACCAAGATGTTTGACCTTTAGGGAGCCAAAATACCAGGATGTTTGACCTTTAGGGAGCCAAAATACCAGGATGTTTGACCTTTAGGGAGCCAAAATACCAGGATGTTTGACCTTTAGGGAGCCAATATACCAGGATGTTTAACCTTTAGGTAGCCAAAATACCAAGATGTTTGACCTTTAGAGACCTGAAATACCAAGATATTTGTCCTTTAGGGAGCCAATATACCAGGATGTTTGACCTTTGGGGAGCCAAAATACCAGGATGTTTGACCTTTAGGGAGCCAATATACCAGGATGTTTAACCTTTAGGTAGCCAAAATACCAAGATGTTTGACCTTTAGAGACCTGAAATGCCAAGATATTTGACCTTTAGGGAGCCAATATACCAGGATGTTTGACCTTTGGGGAGCCAAAATACCAGGATGTTTGACCTTTAGGGAGCCAAAATACCAGGATGTTTAACCTTTAGGTAGCCAAAATACCAGGATGTTTGACCTTTAGAGACCTGAAATACCAAGATGTTTTACCTTTAGGGAGCCATTATACCAGGATGTTTAACCTTTAGGTAGCCAAAATACCAGGATGTTTGACCTTTAGAGACCTGAAATACCAAGATGTTTGACCTTTAGGGAGCCAATATACCAGGATGTTTGACCTTTAGGGAGCCAAAATACCAGGATGTTTAAACAACTGTGATAAGCTTTTATATGGTCAACAATTTATAAAGGGGTTATGTGGTCTCAGAATGTCAGTATTTATTTGTATCAGGTTTTCTGTTACTTCTCAATTTTCACTCAAAGTATTAGAATTTCGTTACATTAACCAATCGATACATGTCGATACATGCATGTTATTCCCATGTTGTTCTGTAACCTGATTGGCAGAGAAACATCTGCCCAATCAAAACAATATATTGTAATATTTCTAGTTGATATTTTGGTGATTCGAAGGTTTTTGTCTTGTTTTTAAAGGGGGGGGGGGTAAAATTGTACAATTACAGTATGATTTATAAAATATTTATTTATGATTAATAGGAAGGTTTTATTGTAAATAAATATACCATGGCATGAAAAGGATTGAAGTGTAGTTAATGTTTTAATTATTCGTATATGTTTAATTCTGAATTGTGACTGGTGAGAGACTCTTGTGATTATACTTGTATGTAGACCATTATTCCCACCAGTCAGCAATGCTTTGTAAATTAGAATACTTCAAATATGTGGTGTGATCAATCCTTATAACTTCTTGTAGTGGTCTAGGGAAATGATTCCTCTGTCTGGCTTGCATGTTGCTCTCATTTTGATAATCTCTGTTGACTAGTTATGGTTATCTAGTCTTCTTTTTATGTAGAAGCTATGTGATAAATATTAAATAAATAAATCAAAAAAATAGTAAATTTTTAGCGTAAATAGCCATGCTTATTTTTTAAAGATATAAAGTACCAAATAAAGTAACATGCAATGAGAAATACAGTGAAAATAAAAACTTGGAAAATCTGCTCTACACCAGCATGATTTGAATAAGGAGGGACCTGATACATTTGTTATGCATGGCTGCCATGGTAACATTTATAACCAAACAAGTGCACTTTCTCACCATTGGTTGGACAGATATTATTACCACGGGCCGACAACTCACTTTTTCTCATTCATTGGAGCAAATATTAGAAAATTACGGGATTTTATTTGATGACCTCCCTCCTACTTGCCTATTTTGTGATATGTTACTGTGATCCGATTTTCATTGCAATTAGTGACAGGTTAGGCATAGTTTGTCACTAAATTCACTAGTTTTTAACTATAAGATTTAATACTGATATTTTTAGTGAGGTTTATGGCGATTAATAACTATATTTTCTAGAGACACATTAATATGTAGTCCAACTGAGATGACGCCCTTCTTGAAATAACGTAAATAATTCGCCTGTGATGGCGTTCTTTATAATAGATTTACGCAACGAATGATTTGGATTTAATTTGGGGGAGTAAATTTCACGGTCTGATTTCAGACTCCTCAGTCTGTGATTCCCTGTTTGTGATGTGACAACAACCACATACTGTGTGTTCTAAAGTATCTAATTTTTCAAATTACTTTGGAGAAAGTTGATTTTGCTACGAATAAAAATGAAGATATATAGATGAACAAAACTGTTCTTATTCATTATTTTAATACAAAATTCGAGTGCTGCTTCCATAGTCAATCTTACTTCATTTCAAATTTAATCCCGTCGCGCTTGTGTAGCGAATTTCGCGAGAACGAGGTGGCATCACCTAAGACAGCCTGATAAAAATCCCACATCCCAGTCTCAGTACTTCGCCACAATTGTATCACCGCCCTCAACGTCGGGA